TTGAGACTCAACTTTAATATCCTGAACTATCTACATTTGTAGTGTATATTATCTTTAATATATTATCTTTCATTCATATGTAAAATTATAGGAATTTGTAAGAGAGAGTTTTGCAGTAAGTACTTGAAAAAACTCACTAATACTAAGCTAGACAATATGATACTCTAGCTTGCGTAAAGAGTTAGGTGACAAATTTTTTTGGTCAGGAGCTAGATGTTGTGTTTCATTAGCTTATGTGAGCATTATTAGAGATAAAATAAATTCTCAAGTGGAAAACTTGGGAAGAGGATGTGGGCTGGTAGAGGAACCTTTATAAATCTAGCTAACACTTTCTTTATTCATTATCCTTTGTTTATTTACTGCTTTCAATTTATTTAATGTTTAATTTGATTAATATTATTATTATTTTATGTTTGAATCTTCAAAATAATAAAAAACAAAAGAAAAGTAAAACAATTTATTAAAAACCCAATTCACCATTCTTGACTTGCTACATATCTTTTTGGGCTAATTACTATAAAAGACTTGTTTTTAATGCCATGAGAAGAACATAAAACATATGGACTTGAGAAATTAGAGAAATAGAAGAAAATCTATCCCTGATATAAACATTAATAGGTCTCAATAAGAAGTCAAAAGAAATTGGTAAAAGAATTCTCTTCATAGGTTGTTCATTTTAGATTCAAAAATTGTTTGTTTCATAGGTTGTTCATTTTAATTTTAAATACACAAAAATAAACTAAAAAGTCCCTACTTTTAAGCAATTATGGTAATGGAAAAGAGCATGAAATCGAATATGGAATAATGGGATCAACTATTTTAATCGGGTATGCTGCAACGATTATCTTCTCATGTTATACTGTTGCAGATATTTTGGATTCACTCTTAATTTTCAGTGGAAATGTTATAGTGTATCATTATCTTCCTATTTTTCAGGAGACTTGTCCTTAAGGTTCAAGTAGCCAACTTTTCTTATAACTCTGCAGTAGCATCTTCCTTGCCGCTTTGAATTTTTTTAAAAAATTCATCCAGAACCTCATCCATGACATGTCTAATTTTTGGACCTTCTCCATCCATACTTCATAATAGAAAATTAAAAAATGTCACATCATCGCCAAATTTGAGAATGTTCGTGAAGATCATCCATCCTCAACTCTTCAAGAGTATTATTTCTGATTCCTTACAGCCTTTTGTCGTTTTTGCAGCATATAATCTTCATATGTCTGATAACCATCCCCAACCAGAGTGTTTACTAGTTCAATATCAACAGACTTCTCAACAGTAGGAAACTTCATTGTTACTTCTTGTTAAAGAGACATAACTAGCAGTGGATTGAAAAGATCACCACATACTGTTTCTGTAGCTACCACCACTGCAACCTATTAGAATTTATTATGATTTCTTGTAACAAAATGGTTACAAATGTAATTATGCATAAGTGTTGGGTTTAGTTTGTACATTAGCTGTAAGCTAAACATGTGTATAAACTGTATGTATAAATGCCCATATGACTTCAGTTAATACATATGATCTTCTTCTTCAATCTAGAGTTTTCTCTCACCTCTCTTTGTCCTCTTCCTAAGCAAGACTCTATTGTTTACTCTTAAAACCTTTTTTTTAAATCATGTTTGTTTAGGCTATCACAGATTCTGATACACCCTTCGAAGACATGATACCAATAGTAGAAGCTTTTTTCTTGTTACTCCTGATAATCACATCTTCAACTTTCAATGCGTTCTGCCTCCCTTCCCTCTCAGGCTATTTGTTTTTGTTTTATTTTTATTTTTTTGCTTCTCTTGTCCTCTCCCTCAGCTTCCTTCTCTCCTTTCCCACTCTTTGATAAATTGTTTGGATTTTCGTCTTAATAGAGTTCTTCAAAAGCAGTCAATGTCATAGAGTCTACAAATCCCAACTTTATTGGGTCTTTGAGGTATGGGAAATTGAGTCTTGCGTACTCTCCTCTGAGCTTATATATTGGGCGGTCATAAACGTAAGAAATAGCCTCTATAATATCATAAATGTCAAACCATAACTCTCATTTTATTTTGTGGGGATATAATCTCGACTACCTATTTCCCCTAGTATCTCTGTCTCACTCCCTGTATAGCTTTTTCTCCATTGGGCACAAGTAGGAGCTTGTTGACACAAAGCTTTAAGGTGGGTTTGTTAATGGGTTGTGAGCATAACATGTTTTTGCTTTGCTTTATTGGCTAAATTTTTGGAGGGTATCTCTCTGCTAGAGGTAGACTGAAGAGCCTAGTGGCTCAAGCCCAGGGCTAATCATGATGGTGGGGGTCATTGATGGTGAGCAATGAGAGAAGATTGACTCTAAGGTGTTTTTGCCTCCTGCAAAAATGATAAGTGACAAAAGAGGACTTAGGGTTCTGAGTTGCATGGAAATTTCGTGCAACCAACCTCGTCCGTGTGGCAATAAATCTCCACATATGTTCCGCAAAAGCAAATGTTTCGCTTAAGTAGAAGGGTAGTCGGGGCCTGTTGCTTTCTTCGTGCCAGTGTTGTGTTCGATGGCACTTGGCCCGTTTGGCCTGAAGCATTGCTGTTGGATCCTTTCTTTGTTCAACATCGAAGTGTCGATGAGCTGTTGAAGGGTGTCCTCAAGCTGGTGGAACCTGTCAGCAAAACCCACCTTCATTTTGCTCAACCTGTCCTGTACCCCTCCCAAACTGATTTTTAGATTTTCTATCTTTCTTTTTCAGTTATCATCACTCAAATACCAATTGATAGGTCTCAGTCAGAAATTAAAGAAAATTGGTAAAAAAATTATATTCGAGTGAGAATAAACTACAAAATTTTATATTAAAAAATTACTTACTTCATAGTTTATTCATTCCAGCTTTAAATACATGAAAGTGAACTAAAAAATCTTTATTTTTAAGCAATTACGATAATAAAAAAGAACATGAAATCAAAAATAGAAAAATAAGATCAACTATCTTGACTAAATATTTTGGGTTTACTCTTGGTTTTTAGTGAATACGTCATAATGTAACAGATATTGTGTAACATTTGGTTTAACTCCTTTTTTCTTTTAAACATCCATATTAATTAATAATTTAAACTCTAAGATAGTTGTTGAATAATAATAATAAATGAAAGAACGACTGCAAAATTCATTGAGGGTAACTAGATATAAGAACGATCTTCACGTTAATTATTACTTTTTCACTTAGTAACACTATTTTACCTTATCTTATAAAATAGTTAATTCTCATACTTATCATCGTATTTCGTTTTTATATTTCTCTCGTGCTCTTGTTCATTGCTTTTTATTTCTCTCTTATTTTATTTTATTTTTAAAAAAATTAGAAAAAAGAGTTTTACTTTGATAAGTGAAATATGTATAATGTGGAGTTTCCACTTTATTATTAGTGGTACTAATTTGTAAGGTCTATAATAGGTGGATGAATTTATTATATTATATGAAAGACATGCCAAAAAACTCTGTTGTATGAATTGAAATCATTGAAAGGGTGTGTATAATCTCAAGAGGAAGTAAATTTCTTTGCACATGATATTAAATTTAACATTATTATTAAAAATATTATTAAACATACTTAATTGAACATAATTTAAAATATTAGACACTTCAATACTCAAAAATAAAATATGAGATAATACAACGAAATATAAAAGTTAAAACACTTTTTATAACAAAAAGTAATTTTTAGTATATTATCTTTTTATCTTCAATGACATTAAAACATAACACGTGACATGATTTTGAAGTGGTTATCATAAAATTTGCCCTCCATTTAATTGTTTTCTTTGTTCTGATTTTTTTTTTTTTTTTTTTTTTTTTTTTTATTAAAAGGAAAGACCCCCCTTTATATTCAAAAAAAATAACATAAATTACAGAACCCTATTTTCCTAACCCATTTTACCCAATACCGATGCCATCTTTCGTTACCAGCAACCAATACTCTATCTCGAGGCCGGACGCCTAATTAGAGGTTTAGTTTGGGACCAGAGTAGGAGGCAGTAAAAATCCTGTGTTAAGGTAAATGCATTTTCGTTGTTTGAGGATTTTGGTATGAAGAAAATATGCGTTCTGCATTGCAATTTTATACAAACCGATTGAAAAATAGAAACATGTAATTGCAAGTCCAACGATATTGAGCTTTTGCATAATCGTATCTTTTTGTTTTCTTCGTTTTCTTCGATCATGTTGAGTTTTTGCACATTCGATTTCCAGTAGTATTGACTGAGCAACCGAGAAGCAAGGGAGAACATCGGCGAGGGCCAGGGAACGCTCTAAACCCTTAATTTCTCTATTCGGGTTTTAATGTCTCCATAGATCTACCTAAACCTCCTGCAAGTATTTTGCCCATGTTCTTGCTTTTGCTTTCTGCGGACATAATGAATGCGTTTGCTGCTTCCTGCTTTCGTCAAATTAAATCTCTAATTCGTTGAGCAAATTGAACCGGTTATATTATTGCTATTAGAGGATCACTGTTTCCAGCTTTATGGTTGCCTTGAAACTTTGGAAAGCATTTACATATGCTTTCAAGGCTTTCTTATATTCTTTCTTTATTGGATTAATTTTTTTAATACATGTAGCATCTGTCTTTTAATATAATGTTTTTCCTTTTCGTTACAATCCTTGGCAGGGGGAGGATTTGAGTGGATATGGCGCTGAATGAAACTTCGCAGACCTTGGGAATTTCAAATGATGATGCAAGTCATACTCAGGATAACATGGTCCCTGATATCTTGAATAATTGGTAAGTAAGTCTTTCTTTGTATGTTTCATACTTCTATTAACATTTTGCCATTACCTAGTTAACCTAGTTAACTTGTGAAAAACATAGAGGTGGCATATTTTTTCTCTTTCTTTCTCTTTTTAGTGCAGAAATATCCTCTCTGTATATATATACACATACATTTATAATTCTCTTTTCACTTAGACCTGAGCTAACTGATAGGTGCTTGTAATTGTTAAAATATGTGACGTCATAGAAAACTTAGTAAGCTGTTACTACTCTTATCTGCTCACAAGCAAAAATGATCCGGAAGGTGTACTAAACCAGTTCGATGTCTGGGTGCTGATTTGTCAAAATACTTTTCTTGTCTGCTTCAGTGTGCTTTTACTACGAGAATACGAATAAAGATTCAGGCAAGTCTTACCAAAATCCTAAATCTTCTGAAAAGCATAAGCTAAAGAAATCTAATTATTTTGGAGTTCTTCTATGTAGTTCCTAAACCTGCCAAGGTCTGGAATACCATTAGATGTTCTTGCAGAAAACAAGTGTGTCAATTAGAACGTGTATGAGAGAAAGGGAGGGATTCAACTGCAGTGTAATGAATGCAATAGTGGGTCAGATATTTACTATTTGCCAAGCTGTTTTTTACATTGAACTGCTATATTGACCTTAATCTTGTTGAGGGAGTTTAGATTGTAATATGAGTAGCTGATTTTTCTGTGACAGAACATGGTTACAAACTACCCTTATCTAGATTTAGACTCATACTTGATCATATTCAAGATTTAGTCATGGCAGAAATTGATAGGCACAATTTTCTTTTACAAACCTTTTGAGATGGGCTGCGTCTTTACTACAATCCATGGTCAAGCTGTGGCATTGTTTCAGTTCTTTTTACCAGTTTTTTAATATGTTACAGTATTCATATCCTGGTCTTGACCGTTAGGTCATAAATTTGTGTGGTGTCATTGACCTTGGAGTAGAATTTGCCAACTGCATCCCACACAACTTTTGTTGTGGATAAGAATATCACAATTTTTGTGATTTCTGTAGC